GGAAGAATTTACAGCTTAGTTTAGTTCAAGGGAGACAAAAGAATAAAAACCAAAAACGTGTACGCCCTGAAGAGTCTATAAAACCTTGTTGGAGATGACTGGAAGGGAGTCAGCAGCGAGGGATGTTTGCCCGATGAGATCTAGCTCCCTTGAAGTTCTGAATTCAGAGGAGGGTGGACAGGGTCCCAAATTATTCTCTCCCTCTTAAGTTCTTGAACAGGTCGTCCACCGGTCTGAAATGCAGCGTGAGAATTTCCGAAAAATATTAGTGTTCAAATGTTGTTGTTCATAGTGGTCAATGCGCTTTGCTACACGTAGTTATGTAGTTCGCAGGTATCACATAAACTGAAAGAAACAAATATATCAACTAAACACAGTAATTGATTGATTTCAAATGATACATTTAAGATAGGCTATATGTGAATTTCGTTTTTGTAGTGCATCGGAGACATTGTGTGTGTTGCAATAAAATTAATTTACTGAACTCAACAGCAATGGTAAGTTTGGTGGGGCTGGCTGCAGGGTGAGCAGGGTTGTCTCCTGTTTCCGTCGTAATCAGTGTCCCAAATCAGACTTTCGTCAATTCACTAACTGACTATAGGGAAACTGATGAACATGCAGCCAGGACCAAAAGCGCAATGTAATAAATGGAGGCAGCGTTGACCGAGTGGTTAGGGCGCCGGACTTGAAATCCGGAGGTCGCGGGCTCAAGTACCGCTCTGACCACTAAGCTGGAGTTGTTTCTAGTTGGTAGACCCCAGTTCAACTTCTCGGTAATGCATGTAAATAGCCAACTGGTCTGCCTCCTGCCCAGCTGGGATTTTTGTAAGCCTATTCACACAGTCAGAACGACAGAGGAAAAAAGGCAATCAAACTTGTGAACAGCAAATGAGTTCACGTGAGCGGGACACCGCTTGAATTGAAGGAACGCGTGCCTCTGTTTCAGTCTACGTGGTACCTAATTTGCTGTCTTCTCCGCTGAGAATCACGGCACCGCTCACGCCGGATAGTTGATTGATCACGCATAGACGAGTTTAAAATATTATTTATAGGTACAGGAAGGACTTCAGGATTCAGACTACAGACAAATTATAGCAGGCAGTGTACATTTGTCCGGTTGTATATTCTGAAGATACACCTTGCAAAAGGCATTTTTCCCCTAACAAGGAGTGGGCAAGTAAATACAAGCTAACGAAATAAAGTAGTACTTGGTTATCTCCGTCATGATGCTGAAAAGTCACTACTGAGCTCATGGGCACGTAGTAAATCTAACTGAGAACTGAGGATCCTGTAGTCTTTGTAACTCGCCCCATCAGGCAGCTGAAACTCGAAACGAGGTTACAGGGCCTCTGCCCCGGATGTCTTGGATGATCCCTTTTGCTGAGAAAACAAGAAGTGAACAAGAAGTGTTGTTTATGTCTTGTTATGTCAGTCATGATCATGGTGTGGAATGACAAGATTCCAAAGCACAGTAGTATGACTGGAACTCCAATATATCCAGCTGTTATGGAAAGAGGTTTTTTTCCCCTGTAATCATATTCTACTTCCACATTGTCGGAATTCGTGACCCGTATCGGCGGCCACCCTCAATATTTTAACTTAAATTTTGCTGACATATGCAGGGTTACCCACCGGAAATGGTTAAGCGTTGACGCCGTTTACTAATTTTAGGTCGGTGTTTTGTGTAATTCGAGTGTATCTCGTGTAATCACACCTGCTTGGTGACAAGACTCGACAACCGGAAGGAAGAAGCATTTGAATTAATCAAGAGACGATAGTTCATCATCTCTTGAAGTAATTCAATTCATCGACACACAGGAATTGAAATACTGCAATATTATCTTCTTCTGTTAAATCAACTTTTATTTTGTACAATTTCAGACAAAACATTATTTTCGAAGATACCGTGTAACTGACTGAACGATCAGACATTGTACGTAAGCAGGCAACATATTAAATCAAAATTTTTGATTTTATATAATTCTTGATCCAACATTTTCATTCATTTCATTCAATGTTTGTTTATGCATGACGAACAATGTTTGACTGGTACTTCCAACATGATGCTAGTCTCTTTCGAACAAAATAGAAAAGAATGTGAAATCGTTTAGGAACTTTACGTAGGGTAATAAAAATGAAGATTGTTTAGCGCTGAACTAGATGAATCCGAAGTATTTTAAGGCGCTAAAATGTCATGAAATGTCCGGGTTGAAAACTTGGGTAATTCTTTACGTAGCATCCCTACTCAGCCAGTAGCACTAGCTAGCACTGTAAGCTTGGGAAAGGAGAAAGCGTGAAAAAGTTTCACATATTTTCAGCTGCTGGAATGCAACATGTTGAGCGTACGTTTTTGCCCCGGGAAGCAGTGATTAAAATGAGTTTGGGCTAACAGTTAGGGAAAAAGTCATCAAAGTTGCCGACACCATTTTGCTAAAGATAAGAACAATAGTTGTAAGTATTTCATTGTTAAGAGGCCCTTAAAAATCTTCAGAAACTCTGTTTACAGTCATAGCGACCATTACATGCATATTTTCGTGATCATAAAAAACGTGGAATCAAGTCTATCATCTCCGACTTGCGTCAAAAGCGCGGCGTTTTTCAGTCGACCTTGAACTCTGGTTAAGTCTTTGAACAAGTAAACAACACATCAGCAAGAAATTAATAATAAGAATGAGTTCATGAATTCCCTCACGGTTTTCTTCTGAGCGCTAAACAGAAGCTGTTACACTTTAAAAAGTACCCACGCTAAATGCATGCAACTGACGACCATTGGCCGCCAAAACTCAGTGTTTCTGAAATGATCACGGTATCACGGTATCAGAAGGAGAACTAATTTGATATTAAAAATGTTACTTTACGTTCGTGTGTATACGTACTGTTGACGTAGCGCTTAATATTTAAGGAAGGTATTGATTTTATAGTTTACAAGTATAAAATCTGTAACTCTCTCGGTGGAAACATTAATTGGACACGCAATTCTTGCAACTTCCCACTACATTTTGACTGCGTCCTGAGGCGTTATAATTGATTTAGTAACATACGGTTGAGTAATTTAACAAGTTCTTTTTACGAGGCTGTAAATGTCGTGGTAAACATTGTATGTAGATGCGGATATTTGCAAACAAAGTCAATGTCAAAAATCAGTTAACAGTACAAAAGTTAAAAGTAGTGTGTGATGTTAGACCTCATGTGACATGAGTGCGGCAAGCGGCGCGTACGCACGCGCGTCTGAATAAACATTGCGTGAGCAAGATGCTCTTCCAAATATCAACAATTTCCAAGACAAGGGACTTCCGAAAAAGGCAGTAAAACAAGGTTCATCTGTTATCGCTTTTAGATACCTTGATAATACCTTGGTGAATGTCGGGAAACCATGCAAGTATCCGGGATATACGATTACTTCATACCATAGCCATTACCGTTACAAATTTCTTCAGTCAAAGTCCACATGTTCTGACATTAACAGAGTGATTAGTCTTCAGAAAAAGGAAAAAAAGCCGGTCTGACAGGGGAGTCCTGTTTTTTTAAGACTGTCGGCCCTTCTCTGATTGGACAGAGCTCAAGAAAGGACTGATCAAAGATCAACCAGTGCAATTTCAGTTACACTTATACAAGAGACCCTCTTGTAATCTTTTGTTTTTGTATGCTTTTCTTACCGTTCTTGTAATCTTTAGTGCATGTGTATTTCAATATCACCGGACATACCATCTTACACCCTCTATCTTTTCCTTTGAGCGTAGACTAAACACGATTGTGACGGCCGGGAGCCGTGACTCAGCCGTATGCTGTAGCCTCGGGAAGGATATAAATTCTCGCGTGAACGTCGGTGAATAGAAAGTAAATAAAGCTAAAACGGAGGTCTATTTCGAAATAGAAAATATTACACCAGAAAAGGAAAAAATAATCGTGACTACGTCACGTGCACGAGAAGGCGACAAGCCATTTCGATTGTTTATTCACTCCCAGCTCCCAGCTCTCACCATTTGCCTCTTTGCCGTTTGATTAGCATAACCTTCGTTTCTAAAATAGATTCCAGGCGAAGAAATCTTGGCTTCCTAAAAGGTTCCCCAACCTGAAGGGAATCATTTTCACTGAAAAAAAAATCATGCTTGTTTTCGTTTGCATGTGGAAGGAAGTTCAAAACGTAAGGGGAAACATCATTTTCGAATGAAAACATTTTTGTGTTTACGGGGCCTGAACAAATAAAGTTATATGAATGCAAAAAGGGAGCGATTGCATTTACATATCCACATCAGTTGACGGTCGTCTCATCTTTTGTTTTGAAATAATAGCCAGTCACCATTAATACTATATTTAACCACAAAGCCTTTTTTAACTGTTTTCTCTCTTTTTGGAAAAGAGATCTGTAGGTGGAGACCACATTTTGGCAATTCTCCATAGCAAATTATATTGGCTAAATTCCTGCTCATTTTGACCTGTGGTCAAATTCTTTAGTCTGTAAAGCTTTACGTACGTTTCTTCTGTGGATTAGAAGAAATCAGTTCAAAGGGCGAATTATCTGGTTCGTTCTGCAAGATCTGCCATTTGCACGGTTATGTTGCCTGACCTCTCGCCCGCGGGCTATTGTGACGTCGTTACAAGTGGCGGTGCATTCTCTCACGTACCACGATGATACACCAGCCACATTGTTAAGAGCGATCGCATTTTAACGTGCTCAATTTTTCTCCCATACCACACAATGATACCTGTGAAATGAACCGAAATTTATGATCGATTTTGTTTTGTTGTAGTTCGTGTGTTCACGTCGGCGAGCTGTTTATTTAAAATTAACCAGTAATTGTTGCATTGTGTATATTTGGAATTAATGTCTTGAAAAATTACGTCATGACATACGTTGGAGTCCGTATAAAAACTTGCTTTTTCAGTTTGCATTGGGCAATTTTCACTTGGCGACCTAGAAATTATTTTGCGTGTTTATAGGGTCAATTTTATCGGAAAACAACGTCAACCTGCCCACGAAAAGCATGCGCTTATGACGTCATATAATGAAAACATCATTCATTTTTAGCAGTTCGTTGATTGGTTAAGATCGAAGGTGTATTTGATTGTAGTACAACTCCATACAACGCGAAGGAGCGTAACAAGCAAGGTCGACAATGCCTACTGTTGAAGAAAACAGATTGCAGTCGTTTCACAATATTGTCAAGGACTACATCGCATACAAACTTCGGCAGCATAATATTTTTTTGGCTGGTTATCATGAGAATTCGTCTCCTTCGGCGGCTGCCTGTCATTTGCGACGAGTCGCGGACGAACTAATAGAGGAGAACAGTCAGTTATTCGATTCCATGTGCGACCAACTTCACCTCACACATGCCACAACATATTCCACTTTTGTCGGAATTGCGGATGAAATTTTCCAAAGTGGAAAAAACTGGGGCCGAATAGTAGCGTTTCTGGCGTTTGGAGCCACACTAGCGGTGTATTGTGCGCAAAAAGAGGATTTGGCTCAGAATATCGATAACATTGTTGAATGGCTCTCGGTCTACATGGACCAGAACCTCAGCGGTTGGATTGACGACAATGGCGGATGGGTGAGTACTGTTGGACATGCAACTGATCTGTGAATTCGTGTCCATGTCAAGTAATAGTAATAGGTTTACAAGGAGGGAAAAAGTCATTCACAGATGCAGTAAAACATGCACAGTGCAGTAAAAACGCTGATTCACTGACTATCGTGCGCGGTTTGTTGACAATAAGAACCAAAGGGATTTCAAATATGTGGAAATATCTTCAAAAAAATATCTAGCGTTTTTTTTTTTAGAATTGTTTTCGAAATCAAAAATCTCCTTTTTCCTTTGCTTCGTGGATCGAAGGTTGAAATTTTCGGAAGGTTTCTTCTGTTTCCTTAATTTCTTCTTTTGCATTGGCGTGGAAGTGCCAAGCTTGAGCTCAACAGGATGTCTTATATGAGTTTAAGCCTACTACAAGATTTTTCCTACCACAAAAACGCAGATTAAAGAATCCAAAAAACATTTTCTTTTGCTGGGCAGAAAAATGTTTCACGATTTTAGGCTAAATTTAATTCTCGTATCCTCTTCCTGTCGGGTGATGTTTTCGATCGTGTATTTTCAAGAATAGAACTAGCTCTTCCCGGGGGATTTCACTCTGTATGGCAACCTTTCATTACACACATAAATTACAAATGGTTTCAGTTTTTACAGATACGTAGTTCGAATTCAAATCTCAAATAATATTAAAATAAAACTGAATAGCTAGTATTTTCGAACATTTTCTTTACTATTCAATAAACTATATTATATTAACTTAAGCTTGTATTGGTGCAGGGTTTTTTTCAAAATGACTTGGTAATTTGGGAATAAAGTCTGTCTTTGCCAGAAAGTTCTCGTCGGCGCCAAGACACGTCTCTTGTCTGCAGATAGAAGTGTTTGGAATCGTGTTGTAGTAAAAGTGCGGAAACTCATACATTTCCATATATGTCGCATTTGTGGTAAGATGGAAAGATAAAACATTACCCTCAAGGAAATGCTTNAATGCATGTAAATAGCCAACTGGTCTGCCTCCTGCCCAGCTGGGATTTTTGTAAGCCTATTCACACAGTCAGAACGACAGAGGAAAAAAGGCAATCAAACTTGTGAACAGCAAATGAGTTCACGTGAGCGGGACACCGCTTGAATTGAAGGAACGCGTGCCTCTGTTTCAGTCTACGTGGTACCTAATTTGCTGTCTTCTCCGCTGAGAATCACGGCACCGCTCACGCCGGATAGTTGATTGATCACGCATAGACGAGTTTAAAATATTATTTATAGGTACAGGAAGGACTTCAGGATTCAGACTACAGACAAATTATAGCAGGCAGTGTACATTTGTCCGGTTGTATATTCTGAAGATACACCTTGCAAAAGGCATTTTTCCCCTAACAAGGAGTGGGCAAGTAAATACAAGCTAACGAAATAAAGTAGTACTTGGTTATCTCCGTCATGATGCTGAAAAGTCACTACTGAGCTCATGGGCACGTAGTAAATCTAACTGAGAACTGAGGATCCTGTAGTCTTTGTAACTCGCCCCATCAGGCAGCTGAAACTCGAAACGAGGTTACAGGGCCTCTGCCCCGGATGTCTTGGATGATCCCTTTTGCTGAGAAAACAAGAAGTGAACAAGAAGTGTTGTTTATGTCTTGTTATGTCAGTCATGATCATGGTGTGGAATGACAAGATTCCAAAGCACAGTAGTATGACTGGAACTCCAATATATCCAACTGTTATGGAAAGAGGTTTTTTTCCCCTGGAATCATATTCTACTTCCACATTGTCGGAATTCGTGACCCGTATCGGCGGCCACCCTCAATATTTTAACTTAAATTTTGCTGACATATGCAGGGTTACCCACCGGAAATGGTTAAGCGTTGACGCCGTTTACTAATTTTAGGTCGGTGTTTTGTGTAATTCGAGTGTATCTCGTGTAATCACACCTGCTTGGTGACAAGACTCGACAACCGGAAGGAAGAAGCATTTGAATTAATCAAGAGACGATAGTTCATCATCTCTTGAAGTAATTCAATTCATCGACACACAGGAATTGAAATACTGCAATATTATCTTCTTCTGTTAAATCAACTTTTATTTTGTACAATTTCAGACAAAACATTATTTTCGAAGATACCGTGTAACTGACTGAACGATCAGACATTGTACGTAAGCAGGCAACATATTAAATCAAAATTTTTGATTTTATATAATTCTTGATCCAACATTTTCATTCATTTCATTCAATGTTTGTTTATGCATGACGAACAATGTTTGACTGGTACTTCCAACATGATGCTAGTCTCTTTCGAACAAAATAGAAAAGAATGTGAAATCGTTTAGGAACTTTACGTAGGGTAATAAAAATGAAGATTGTTTAGCGCTGAACTAGATGAATCCGAAGTATTTTAAGGCGCTAAAATGTCATGAAATGTCCGGGTTGAAAACTTGGGTAATTCTTTACGTAGCATCCCTACTCAGCCAGTAGCACTAGCTAGCACTGTAAGCTTGGGAAAGGAGAAAGCGTGAAAAAGTTTCACATATTTTCAGCTGCTGGAATGCAACATGTTGAGCGTACGTTTTTGCCCCGGGAAGCAGTGATTAAAATGAGTTTGGGCTAACAGTTAGGGAAAAAGTCATCAAAGTTGCCGACACCATTTTGCTAAAGATAAGAACAATAGTTGTAAGTATTTCATTGTTAAGAGGCCCTTAAAAATCTTCAGAAACTCTGTTTACAGTCATAGCGACCATTACATGCATATTTTCGTGATCATAAAAAACGTGGAATCAAGTCTATCATCTCCGACTTGCGTCAAAAGCGCGGCGTTTTTCAGTCGACCTTGAACTCTGGTTAAGTCTTTGAACAAGTAAACAACACATCAGCAAGAAATTAATAATAAGAATGAGTTCATGAATTCCCTCACGGTTTTCTTCTGAGCACTAAACAGAAGCTGTTACACTTTAAAAAGTACCCACGCTAAATGCATGCAACTGACGACCATTGGCCGCCAAAACTCAGTGTTTCTGAAATGATCACGGTATCACGGTATCAGAAGGAGAACTAATTTGATATTAAAAATGTTACTTTACGTTCGTGTGTATACGTACTGTTGACGTAGCGCTTAATATTTAAGGAAGGTATTGATTTTATAGTTTACAAGTATAAAATCTGTAACTCTCTCGGTGGAAACATTAATTGGACACGCAATTCTTGCAACTTCCCACTACATTTTGACTGCGTCCTGAGGCGTTATAATTGATTTAGTAACATACGGTTGAGTAATTTAACAAGTTCTTTTTACGAGGCTGTAAATGTCGTGGTAAACATTGTATGTAGATGCGGATATTTGCAAACAAAGTCAATGTCAAAAATCAGTTAACAGTACAAAAGTTAAAAGTAGTGTGTGATGTTAGACCTCATGTGACATGAGTGCGGCAAGCGGCGCGTACGCACGCGCGTCTGAATAAACATTGCGTGAGCAAGATGCTCTTCCAAATATCAACAATTTCCAAGACAAGGGACTTCCGAAAAAGGCAGTAAAACAAGGTTCATCTGTTATCGCTTTTAGATACCTTGATAATACCTTGGTGAATGTCGGGAAACCATGCAAGTATCCGGGATATACGATTACTTCATACCATAGCCATTACCGTTACAAATTTCTTCAGTCAAAGTCCACATGTTCTGACATTAACAGAGTGATTAGTCTTCAGAAAAAGGAAAAAAAGCCGGTCTGACAGGGGAGTCCTGTTTTTTTAAGACTGTCGGCCCTTCTCTGATTGGACAGAGCTCAAGAAAGGACTGATCAAAGATCAACCAGTGCAATTTCAGTTACACTTATACAAGAGACCCTCTTGTAATCTTTTGTTTTTGTATGCTTTTCTTACCGTTCTTGTAATCTTTAGTGCATGTGTATTTCAATATCACCGGACATACCATCTTACACCCTCTATCTTTTCCTTTGAGCGTAGACTAAACACGATTGTGACGGCCGGGAGCCGTGACTCAGCCGTATGCTGTAGCCTCGGGAAGGATATAAATTCTCGCGTGAACGTCGGTGAATAGAAAGTAAATAAAGCTAAAACGGAGGTCTATTTCGAAATAGAAAATATTACACCAGAAAAGGAAAAAATAATCGTGACTACGTCACGTGCACGAGAAGGCGACAAGCCATTTCGATTGTTTATTCACTCCCAGCTCCCAGCTCTCACCATTTGCCTCTTTGCCGTTTGATTAGCATAACCTTCGTTTCTAAAATAGATTCCAGGCGAAGAAATCTTGGCTTCCTAAAAGGTTCCCCGACCTGAAGGGAATCATTTTCACTGAAAAAAAAAATCATGCTTGTTTTCGTTTGCATGTGGAAGGAAGTTCAAAACGTACGGGGAAACATAATTTTCGAATGAAAACATTTTTGTGTTTACGGGGCCTGAACAAATAAAGTTATATGAATGCAAAAAGGAAGCGATTGCATTTACATATCCACATCAGTTGACGGTCATCTCATCTTTTGTTTTGAAATAATAACCAGTCACCATTAATACTATATTTAACCACAAAGCCTTTTTTAACTGTTTTCTCTCTTTTTGGAAAAGAGATCTGTAGGTGGAGACCACATTTTGGCAATTCTCCATAGCAAATTATATTGGCTAAATTCCTGCTCATTTTGACCTGTGGTCAAATTCTTTAGTCTGTAAAGCTTTACGTACGTTTCTTCTGTGGATTAGAAGAAATCAGTTCAAAGGGCGAATTATCTGGTTCGTTCTGCAAGATCTGCCATTTGCACGGTTATGTTGCCTGACCTCTCGCCCGCGGGCTATTGTGACGTCGTTACAAGTGGCGGTGCATTCTCTCACGTACCACGATGATACACCAGCCACATTGTTAAGAGCGATCGCATTTTAACGTGCTCAATTTTTCTCCCATACCACACAATGATACCTGTGAAATGAACCGAAATTTATGATCGATTTTGTTTTGTTGTAGTTCGTGTGTTCACGTCGGCGAGCTGTTTATTTAAAATTAACCAGTAATTGTTGCATTGTGTATATTTGGAATTAATGTCTTGAAAAATTACGTCATGACATACGTTGGGGTCCGTATAAAAACTTGCTTTTTCAGTTTGCATTGGGCAATTTTCACTTGGCGACCTAGAAATTATTTTGCGTGTTTATAGGGTCAATTTTATCGGAAAACAACGTCAACCTGCCCACGAAAAGCATGCGCTTATGACGTCATATAATGAAAACATCATTCATTTTTAGCAGTTCGTTGATTGGTTAAGATCGAAGGTGTATTTGATTGTAGTACAACTCCATACAACGCGAAGGAGCGTAACAAGCAAGGTCGACAATGCCTACTGTTGAAGAAAACAGATTGCAGTCGTTTCACAATATTGTCAAGGACTACATCGCATACAAACTTCGGCAGCATAATATTTTTTTGGCTGGTTATCATGAGAATTCGTCTCCTTCGGCGGCTGCCTGTCATTTGCGACGAGTCGCGGACGAACTAATAGAGGAGAACAGTCAGTTATTCGATTCCATGTGCGACCAACTTCACCTCACACATGCCACAACATATTCCACTTTTGTCGGAATTGCGGATGAAATTTTCCAAAGTGGAAAAAACTGGGGCCGAATAGTAGCGTTTCTGGCGTTTGGAGCCACACTAGCGGTGTATTGTGCGCAAAAAGAGGATTTGGCTCAGAATATCGATAACATTGTTGAATGGCTCTCGGTCTACATGGACCAGAACCTCAGCGGTTGGATTGACGACAATGGCGGATGGGTGAGTACTGTTGGACATGCAACTGATCTGTGAATTCGTGTCCATGTCAAGTAATAGTAATAGGTTTACAAGGAGGGAAAAAGTCATTCACAGATGCAGTAAAACATGCACAGTGCAGTAAAAACGCTGATTCACTGACTATCGTGCGCGGTTTGTTGACAATAAGAACCAAAGGGATTTCAAATATGTGGAAATATCTTCAAAAAAATATCTAGCGTTTTTTTTTTTAGAATTGTTTTCGAAATCAAAAATCTCCTTTTTCCTTTGCTTCGTGGATCGAAGGTTGAAATTTTCGGAAGGTTTCTTCTGTTTCCTTAATTTCTTCTTTTGCATTGGCGTGGAAGTGCCAAGCTTGAGCTCAACAGGATGTCTTATATGAGTTTAAGCCTACTACAAGATTTTTCCTACCACAAAAACGCAGATTAAAGAATCCAAAAAACATTTTCTTTTGCTGGGCAGAAAAATGTTTCACGATTTTAGGCTAAATTTAATTCTCGTATCCTCTTCCTGTCGGGTGATGTTTTCGATCGTGTATTTTCAAGAATAGAACTAGCTCTTCCCGGGGGATTTCACTCTGTATGGCAACCTTTCATTACACACATAAATTACAAATGGTTTCAGTTTTTACAGATACGTAGTTCGAATTCAAATCTCAAATAATATTAAAATAAAACTGAATAGCTAGTATTTTCGAACATTTTCTTTACTATTCAATAAACTATATTATATTAACTTAAGCTTGTATTGGTGCAGGGTTTTTTTCAAAATGACTTGGTAATTTGGGAATAAAGTCTGTCTTTGCCAGAAAGTTCTCGTCGGCGCCAAGACACGTCTCTTGTCTGCAGATAGAAGTGTTTGGAATCGTGTTGTAGTAAAAGTGCGGAAACTCATACATTTCCATATATGTCGCATTTGTGGTAAGATGGAAAGATAAAACATTACCCTCAAGGAAATGCTTTCCTTCCTTTCTCCTTTACTCTTATTCACTTTGCTTTGACAAGCTCTATAAGCAGCGATTGACAATTAAAAATAGCGAAAAGGATATGGTTGGATGGCGTTCAGCATTTGCCAAATTTTTTCATTTTCAAATGGTGATGTAATTCGGCAAATATTGTATTTATACACTTTGATCTGAGAGGTTCAGACATCAAACCCTTCTGTGGGTTGTTAGCTTCTTCATGATATTCTCCTTGAATAGAAAACCAATATTGAAGACACTATATGAGCAAAGTTTGTTGTTTCCAAAGAAACTGGTCAAAACTGCTGGGTTGCCTTGTCGGGCAAATGAAACACATAGCTATTTATTTATCACCTTGAAGCAGATAAAGGTAAATTAACCATCATAGCAAGTTTGTGAAGCTGACACTTCGCTCAGCGGTAGCCCTTCAGCATGATCATAGACACTTTTCTCTGGTGAAGGGCAAACCCGTAAAATGTCAGCTTTAGGAACTTGCTATGGTGGTTTTCTTCCTGCATCAATTCAAGTTGATAAATAGCTAAGTGTACACCCAAATAACTTTGTGGTAAAGTAGCACAGATACTGACATTGCCTCGCACCCTCCCCCCTCTCTGATAAGTATTGCTTTAAGGCCCAACTAACCATAAAATAGTGACAAAGCTTTTACAAAAATTTTCTTTTCAACTGCTCTGAAGCCCCCTCCTCCACCCAACTTTTCCCTCTTTAAAACTTAACTCACTTTACTTATCCTTATCCCACAGTAGGAAGTGGGATGTTCAACAAGCCCAGGGCAAAAAAGAAACAGATTTCACAATATATATTTTTGAAACTTCAACAGGATTGGTAGGGTTCATACAGTGTAGTTCCTATTCAAGGTGACATATGAAGCTGCAACAGCCATGGCATACACTTCTGAGAAAAGAGGAGCAACCATTTTTTAGTCAGAGAATTGCATGGTTAACTCCTCAATAAGTCTTCCTGAAGATACTTTCACAAAACAGCTATTGATGTGAGAGCACTGGAACTGCTCTAAACTTCGAGAGTTCAGCAAAAAATTGCAAATATGACAGCATTGAATGTCCGAGTACAGGATATTTGTTGCATTTTTATTCAGTTTTGTAATATTAACATGCTATGTAAGTTAACTGTCATTTCTTTTTTTGTTGTTGTTTTAGGATGGATTTATCGCTTTCTTTAAAAGAGATGATGGATCTTCAGAAAGTGGGAGAAGTGGTGGATGGCGTGTGGCAGCTGTTGCTGGTCTGGGACTTGGGGCCCTGCTTATGCTGGCGTGTAGATGAAGTCAAGAAATAATGTCTTTAAACTCGGATATTTAAAGATTTCAACATGTTTTATCTCTATTTACCTGTTATATATTTTCTAGTTGTCTTTGATCGGGTTTCGTTTATAATAATGTGGTTACATGTGCTCTGGGTGAACACAAACTGGACAAAATCAGGTGTGGGAAACATTGTGTTAAACAATCTAAAGCAGAGAAAAAATTAATATTGTTCCGTAGTTAGCCAAAGTATTTTCCTTCATTATTTTTAGAATGACCACTGCTTAAAACTTAAGATGGTTACAACTATGTATATTTTTAAGATCTCTGTCAATAGTGTGTGACATTTTTAAGATTATGGTATTTTCAAATATCAATGACAGTTGATTATCCAAGAATAATAGATGTGAAATATGTTCTTGCGCCCGTTCACTTTACTCACCAGTGGGCATGCATGCATTCAGTCACTTGTAAAACTGATGCGCACGACATCTTTGTATCTTCCATGAAGAACTTATAATTTATTTAAGTCAGTCTGTAATTAAATTATCTTCAGTTGAATAGAGCATTACTGTGAATACATGTATTACACTATTTTGAGTACATTAAATACAGAACACCTAAGTAAGTGGCATCCGCAATAGTGACATCTGTGGTTTCAACATGAAGATCTCTGCATTGCTTTTTATAGTTGAAATCAATTACAAAAAGAACGAAAGAAAAAAATAAAATGTAAGTGAAGTCTTGAAGTCTTGCTTAACGGCTTAACAAAAAGTAATCTCAGAATTTCATTTTACGTAATTTGTGTTTGTACAAACAATTGTTTTACATGTAACTCTTATTTACTATTATTTTGGTTAGCAAAACTTGAAGTTCTGTTCATAGTAATCCCCATTAACACTTGTGAACCACCTTCTGGAGTTATAAATAAAATTGTTTTGAAGCAAGATGATAGATAGTGATCATTGATAATGTTATATCTGGCTATATTTGTACATATTGATGAGTTCTTTGAGGTTTATAGCAGTCACCTGCCTAACTATCAAAAGACAAGGGCAAGAAACTGAAAACCCTCCTTGAGTTTAATTGTAACGTTTTGCTCTCTGGACCTGATGAGCTTGGATGAAAAAAGAATATCAATAAATATGAAGTTAAACATTTGTCAATTGTGCCGTCTCATTTACTGAATTTGTTTTTGTAAGACTTGAAACAGCCTGGTTGTACCATTTAAGTTTATTTTTAACATTTGAATCTATTGCTTCCTTTCATCTTTGGAGGGAATTGATTGTCAGCAGCCAATCAGAAGATACTTCCTCAAACAAATACCATGGTGCCTTACAAAATCAATAATTAATTTAATTTTTAATTTATTTTGTTTTGCAAATTTAGACTACGAGTAGTCCCTCTTTCGCTTAGTCCGTCGTGCGTGACGCGAAAGAAAACCGCGAGAAAAAACTGGCCGCGCGAAATCCTGGAGGCGAGGAGCACGCAAAAG